CAGGGATGCACTTCGAGTTGGGGGTGGCATGTGCAACAAGCGTGAGCTCACAAGTGCTGGGCCTCGACCTGGCTCTTCATACCAGACTGAGTGACCTTGGACAAGCCACTAGAATTCTCCTGGCCTTGGTTGGCTCATCTGCAAAATGAAGGGCTGGGCCGCTGAACCTCCCACTCTCCTCAACTCTTAGCTTCAGGAGCCGCAGCTATGAGGAGCTGCTCACTTCCACACTCCCTCTAAGGGCGGGCCAACTGTCACTGTCATTTTACAAACATAAATGTTGCAACATGGCGGTAGAAGTCCTTTCGATGACATGGTGGGGGTGACGCAAGGCAGAGCTGGTACTGGGGTCTGACCTTCAAGACTGTGGTTTGGTATCTGGGCAAGAGCCAGAGGCCCTCCTGTTAGATGCAGAAAGAGCACCTTAACTGAGGTGCAAAGGGTTACAAGACAGATGGTATCTCCTTTAACCTGCTCCCACCAGGGGATAAGCACCGTGGTCGTTGATTTCCTGGTGAGGAATGTCAACCAGCCACGGGAGCCGCACTATGGGTGAAGCCAGGATTCAGACTTGGTCCTGCTCACACAGTCCGTGCTCCTTCCATTCCCAGAGCTGCCCCCCCCACTTATAGGCCTTTGCTGGCATACCATGACCCCCCGACTCCCATAATATGCTCCAACAACCCCCATGAGCCTCAGCCTCCCCCCACCCCCCGCCCGTAACTGCCCTGCAGCTTCCCAGCCGCCCTCTAAGACGTGCTGGAATCCTGGCTTCTGCGTCAGCATCCATTAATCACACCACATCTCCTGCCCCCCCCCCCCACCGCCCTGAGAGTTCACTTCTCCTTTTCCTTCCTCAAAATACCCTTCTGTCATGGCAGGAATTTGTCGTGGGGCTCAAGACAATGCTGAACCAGTGAGACGTTGAGCTCTCTACTCCATCAAACTCAGGGGCCCCAAGGGTCTGAGGTCCAGACCCGTAATTCCAAGGGCAGACGGCTGGAAGACACAGCTGCCCAGGTATCGCTGAGCCCATGGCCACACCAGGAGCACTACAGACAGACCTGCTTGCCCAGGGGCTGCCCTGGAACAGAAGCCGGCAACCTCTGCTACTGAGCCTCAACCCCACAGCCTGGGGTGGAGGGCACCCCAATACCCCATGTGCAGAGACACAGCAAGAGCTGGAAACCTCTATGTGAAGAGCAGGCTCTGGAGGACAGACCTCGGTTCAAGCCTCAGCCCTACCACTTCCTGGTGCAGCGAAGAGCTGAGTGGGAGGGGTGCCTGGGTGGCTCAGTCGGTTAAGTGTCTGCCTGCGGCTCAGGTCATGATCCCAGGGTCCTGGGATGGAGCCCTGCATCGGGCTCCTTGCTCAGCGGGGAGTCTGCTTCTCCCTCTTCCTCTACCCTGCTTGTGCTCTCTCCCTCTGACAAATAAATAAATAAAATCTTTTTTAAAAAAAAGATAAAAGGAGCTGAGTGGGAGTTTAGCTGTACCCCACACTGGTGCTGGGTACCAGAGCGAGAAACGACAGGTACTCAACACTCCATGTTCTAAAGACAGCCCTGGACATTTGGGGCCAGCCGTTCACACGCCTCACACGGGGCCTGCTAAGAGTCAGCAGAACCAGTCCTACCACTAGCCTCCTCCCCACCTTCCAGCCTATCCGAGAAGGTGGAGAGCGGAGAAAAGGAGTCATCAGCCCGTCCTCAGCAGGAGAGCGGCATTCATGGTGGGAGATGCGACCCTCACCCCGGGTCACTGAGGAGAAAACCCCAGGGGAACTGCTCAGGTGGATTAGGAGGCAGGGGGCCTCACCACCCCACTCCACAGACAGGTGCTTGCTGAGCTGGGAAGGCTCAGACCCAAGGGGTGTAGACATGAGAACAAAGTGGGTTGCGGAGAGTCCTAGCAGAGGCCACCCTGGGCCGCGGGGGTCTGAGGGCACCAGGACCTCACGGGGCGGTATCTTCCTCCACTTGGGGTTTCTGTGGGCGGCAGAGAAGGGGGCAGGTGGGGACCTGGGAGGAGACCCCGGGGTAGGGGGGCACCAGCCCATGGCCTATGTGGCCAGACCTGAAGAAGGGATCGGACGGAAGGCAGACAGGCAGAGGGAGCCAGGATAAAATAGAGTCGGCCATGTAGACGCAGCCCCATGGCAGCGTCACCCACAGAGCCAGAGGTGGAGCAAGGCTGAAAGTGAACAGGCAAGGCGTCACTTGAGACAACCCTGCCCCTCCTCAGGCCAGCCCCAGAAGAGCCAGATTCCAAAGATGGAGGGAGAGAGGCTAAGAGCACAGGACACACACTTCCACTCCAAGCCCCGGAGGGACGAGGCCGTGGCCCTCCAGCGGCTGGGGCGGGAGGAGGTGCAGAGGCTCCTCGGAGGGCAGATGATAATACCCTTCACCCAGGTTATCAGCGAGGCTCCGCGGAGACACATGAGGAAGCCCCAGGCGCGGGGCCAGGCACAGAGCACAGGACAATGACGGTGAAGACTTCCTCCAGCTCCAGGAGCACCTTCCATCCCTCCCCAAACTTCTGTCATGCTGCTCCTCGGCCACTGCCCTCTCCTTCTCCCCCCCCAGCCCCCCGAAATGCCACAAGCCCACCTCTTCTCTGAGGGCTCGGGGCCCACTCAAGTCTCCCAGAGCTTCAATATATACTCTCCAAGTCCCCCAAGTTATCGCTTAACTGTGTGGGGTATACAGTTCGTCTCTCCCCAGCCGGGGGTTCAGCTCCCAGAGAACAGGGGCTGCATCTATGGTAGAGTATGTTGTCCCATCTGAACACTGTACCACAAGGCACAGGCCATCACTCAGATGCCAGAGATGTGGGCGGCCTCCCAGTGCCTCCATGCCTGGACCAGGTAAACTTGAGCAAGCCAATGAACCTCTCTGACCCTCCACAAAACAGGGAGACCATCTCAGCACTTTCGTCAGAGGGCTCTGGCGGAGAATAGGACAAACCAATTAGAACTGAGCCCAGCACCCAGTGTATGCTTCTTGATTATTCGCTGCTTGCCCACTCCCTCCCAGATCTGATGGACTTGTTCTGAGATGGGCCCTGGGGAAGCCGTACTTCTTAAAGCTCCCGGGCCATTCCAGTGGTTGAGAACCTTGTCTAAGAGAAGGCACATGGGAGGGGGAGGAAGGGAGAGATGTCAGAGCTGAGAGTCAAAGGGTGACCCCCTTTATACCTCCCCAGAAATATCAGTATTTGTCAGGAAGCCAGGGCGTGGCTTTGCTCTACAGAGTCTTGGAGACCAGCACTTAGGTACCCCCTTCTCCTGCCAGCCACCCTGGAGATATGAAGAGAAACAAGACTTGGAAGATCCAAAGAAGCCAGGCCCAGGGCTTGAGGCCTCTTGGCTGGACTGGCTCTGTCTGCCTGGTCACTCTTTCCCTCACTCAGCATTTACTTGCCAACCAGCAGATGGTGCAGAAAATGTGCAGCCCTGCCCCTAATCCAGCTAGTGCAGAATTTGCATGTGATTACACAGAGCCATGGCACTGGCCTGCATTTTCTTTTCTTCTTCCTCGCCCCCCCCCCTTTTTTCCTTAAAAAGGGACACAAAGACCTCCATACAAAATACAATCACGGTCACAGTTCTTGAAATAACATCAACCTACCTGACCTTTGTATCTTGCTGGAACTACCTCTTTGGATCCGATTAAAAAGCTGTAGTGTCTGCAATGGAGCTGATGACTGCCTGAGTAACTAGCTTTGGGGCTCAAAAGTAGTTTTTGGACAGATAATACCGATCACTCACTCGTGGACTGGAAAATATATGGATACACCAGACTTATCAGAAGGCTACAAGGGCAGAACTGTTTTTGTAAGACAATAATAGCTACTAACTAGTACATATGCTATTTTGTAGCCAGACATATTGCCTGTAGATTTCTCCGGGGCTCCCACCGCACCAGAGCAATCCTTTTCTTGCCTCTCTTTTTTGAAGCGAAGACCGTTTTCTTACCATTTTCTTTCGAGAAACAGGGACGCTGTGAAAAGGAGCAGAATGCCTGCCTGCACAAAGCCTCTGTCCGTGAGAGAGCTCTTAAACTGCCCTCACCAGGTGACACGGGTAGAGTCCTAGTGAAAACGGACATTTTAGTGCTTGGAAAGCTAATGAGAATCAGAGATGACCATGACGGCGTTGTGTAATTAAACCTTTTTGCAATACTTCACGTGGTATTTGCAAAGCACTTTACAATTACTACCCTTTCCTTATTCACACATTCTCCCATTAGCTTATTAACAATATGCCTCATAAACTGGTTTCTCTGTGCCCGTAAGAGCCCCAGTAAACTTTATGGCTTTTTCTTGGGGCCTCTCCGACCAGCTCAGACAGCAAGCTTGACCTCCCGTTGCAGCAGCTCGGGAGCTGGGTGTTACCCCGGACTGCCGTTTAGCAACCCTGAGAAATGAATTCGGGAGCCCTAGTTCATTCAGCAGGGCTCCGACGCAGGAGATTAGAAACATCTCATCCCAAACCGGACAGTCCCGCCCTGCCATCACTCAAAAATATTGGTGACTGACCCCAATCTGGAGGCCATCGTGCAGAGGACCCTTCCAGGCTCAGATCAGGGGCTTTGGGATGAGGGGACGCAGGAGGAACGTCTAGAGTTCGAGCCTCCCGGGTGGGCACACCTCCCAGCCGGACCCGTTCTGCCGTGTGCGGGAAGCCCCGCCGCGCCGGCTAATGCGGAGCTACACGGGCAGACACCGGCTGGTGACTCCGGCCCTCACTTTCTTTCTTTCTCGCCCCTTCTGGGAAGGGGAGGGCGTTACCTGAGAGAAAGGCCTGCAGGGAGGACAAGGCTCGGGCGACCCCAGAGCCAGTGCGCTCTGCCCACACTCTCGGACCCGCGGCTCCGTGACCGCCCCCAGGCAGCCGCGGCCTCTCAGCTGGCGCCGCGCGCAGGGCGGGGGCCGCTCTGCCAGGTGAGCGCCCTCCCAGGGGCCTGCCGCTCCCCGCGCTGCTGCCCGCGACTCACCTGCGTGAAATACAAGTTCATGAGCGTAAGGGTGAAGAACTGCAAGCACACGGGGAAGCAGTAGAGCAGCCAGAAGACGAAGGGGCTGAGCGCGTTGGCCGCCACGAAATCTTTGAAGTAGAAGGAGAAGAGGACCGTCCGCAGGGAGGCCCAGAAGAGGCAGAGGAAGAGGAAGACGCTCTGGTAGCTAAGCCGCTTGTGGCGGTAGCGCAGCACCAGCCAGAGCTGCACGTAGATGAACACGAAGAGCAGCGAGTAGAACACGGTGTAGACGATGGTGAGGCCGAGCTTCACGTAGGGGGGCACGGCCGGGGTCAGCGTGGGCGGCAGCGAGTCGTTGCGGAGGGGGTCCCACGGCGGAGCCTCCATCGGGCCGGGGGCGCTGCAGCGGTGCCGGGGGCGCCTCATCTGGGCTCGCGGCCGCCGCCGCCGCCGCCCCCGTGGGGGTCTCCCAGCATCGCGCTCCGCCCGGAGCCCGGAGACTGGAGGAAAGAAAACAAGCCGCACTTCCTCCCCCGGCACCACATGATTCACTGGGGCGGCCTTTGTCTGCGATTGGCAGCGCCGCGCCCGCCGCCCCCGCGCGCCCCTGCACTGCCCGGG